ACAGAAAATATACAGAAGAGCTTAATTAATACTCTTGCTGTTTGTATGGTTTTGTTTTATGGATAATAGAAGAAGAACCTTAACGAAACAGTCATGGAAATGGAGCCTGAGCAATGAAGCAGCCATTCGAGCTTCCCTTGCAACAGCCTTTGCAACAATCGACTTCACAATCTCTTGAGCTCTTGGGCAGGAATAGTCATAGAATTGTGGGTAGAGATAACCACCATTAATCTTGTGAGAAAAGCAGAAGGAAGCAAAAGAGAGAAGCAAAAGAACCATGAGAAAGCTCATACAGTGAGCCATATTCAATTCTGAAATTAATACTCCTTTTATGAAACGGTTTCTCTCGCACAAAAGAACCTGGAGTCTGGAGAGCTGGACTTACTCAAGGCTTGTTGTGATGGAAGCTTAGATGGTTTGGCGTATTTATATAGGAGGCTCTTAGGAAGAAAAGAATGAGAGAGATATTATAATAGAATGGGAGTTGGTAGCTCTTTATTAACTTCTGATTACCTGTTCAGAAGAACTAGCTAGATTAAGTGAACTACTATTGCAACATCAATTATTTATTGATTTTATTATATTAAATTAAAAGAAACTTTCTGAGTTGACTTGGCCAAGCCCACATATGTCAGTGAATTGACCAAATCAGACAAGTGTCTTCCAAATTGTGTAATATTTATTAGTTAGCTTAGAGCTCTTCAGGGTAGAAGTTGGGCCCCAGTAACCGAGTATTTGACCAATTCAGGCCCATATAATTTATTGAATTGGTTGATACATGTAATAATAGGGGTATTTAATTTGAACCTAATTCTTTCAAGAAATATAGCTAGGAAGACTTTTAGTTGGTTAACCATGACTTCGTGATTTAGTTGCGAAATTTATGCTTCATAGATAAATAAAATGAATACCGACACAGCTAAATGGTCAGGAGCAAAAGGCTGATATGTAGGAGTAAGAGTAGAAATACCTGCTCAACTGAAGAAATTGGGATGGTATCATCATAAATATAAGAATTATTTATTAAAACATTCCTTATAGTTTGACAAATTTATTAAAACCTATCCTATAGTTTGTGTTCTACTAAAATATTTCTTATAGTTTACAATCGATTTCTTAATTGATCTTTCATTAGATGGCAGTAGATATGATGGTTTTGACTTAGCCTAACACCATGCATTTTAGCCGCTAGCTAGTAAGACATAAGTAACAACTCTATTTAGATATATTTAGCCAACTTTGTTTCTTGGACGAAGAAGTACTGGGGGTAATTTTCTAATAAATTAACAATCATGGGTCCATACCCTTAAACATTTTTCACTCAGTTTAGGTGATCATGTTACTATTCTCAGATGGAAAAACCAATACTTCTTAGTGATGAAAGGTCAATTAAGTAAATATATTGCATATTATAGGGGTGTTTTAGTAAAATAAAAACTATAGGATAGGTTGAAATAAATCCAGTAAACCACCGGGGGGGTGTTCTAATAAATGACCCTAAATAAAATGAAGAAGGAAGAATTCTGATATAGGAGAAGTACCTGCTCAGATGAGGAGATAGGTATTAACACCAACTTGTCCAAATGGGACATACCTTGGGGGCCAAGGCTGCAAACAGATTGGATCAAAGTCATTGATTTGGTCAAGTCTACTCTACAGTGTAGACAGAACCTAATATAGGCAAGGGATGTTGATATACAGCTAGTGGGAAATGGACAAACTATCCATATCTAAGGGTGTCAATGGACCAATTTTGGATTGAAACCCGTCCAGTCCAAATCAATTTGGATGGATTGAATGGACCAACAAGATATATTGGATTGGACCAATCCGGTCCAAAATACTTATTAGATTCGATTGGATCTGGTCTGTCTGTAACAAATTTATATTGGATTGGGTTGGATCTGATCCATTAATATAAGATAAGAATATATGTGTCAATTGACCGGGTTTGGGTTGAAACCAATCTAAATCAAAATGAATTTAAACAGATTGGACGGTCCAGACATAGAATTGGACCGATCCAAATTGATCCAAAACATTCATTGGATTGAATTGGATCTGTTCCATTTATAATGGATTCACATTGAAATAGATCGGATTGGACAGGATTGGACCAAATACAGTCCAACTGACACCCCTATCCATATCTGGTCGGATCCATGGCTGCCTCGGAATCATCTTGGAATGAATGTGAATAGCTCTTGTACAAATAGTGGTTCAAAGTGACTGACTTATTTCTAGAAGGAACTGCTTGTTGCGATTTACTAAAACTAAGCCAATTATTTGATGATCCTACGGTCAACACTATTCTCAGCATGAATACTTCTGATAACAGAGCTGATCTAATTAGAGCTGTGAATGGGTTCTGAAAATTCAGATCCAATTACAGCCCTAAATCTAGTTGACACTTGTTTGGACCCTGGTATCTCATGGGAAATACACCCTCTGTGTCAGGATATATTGCTTCTTTGTTAGGAAGATCCTTGCTCTTCATCCATCATTTACTACAATATATATAAATATATATGCAGTTTCTGGAAGTAATTATGGAGTATTGGTACTCTTCAGCCAAAGATTTTCATGTTTGTTTCGTTGTTTTGAGAGCTGTATATCTGGTATCCTACCCATCAAAGCAATACAAATATTGCAAAGAACTCTACTAAGGTCTCTCCTTTATTCCCAATCTGTGAATGTGAAGAAGACTACTGGTAAGTGATAACCTCTCATAAGTCTCCATTTGTTTGCATGCAGTTGGTTCAGTTTTGCGTCTGTTTGTAATTATGATTTATACTCTTTATTTAATACAAAATTTGTACTTTTTGTCTCATTTGCATGCACGGCAGTGCAAATTTTGCATCTGAAAAATTGATATAAAATTTGTTCAACCTTCAAATTACATCAACTCTCTCCCATATAAAGTAGGGATTAATTGTATCATGGAATAGCAAAAGTTTGATACTATCGCTAGTTCTTATTACTTACACATGTATAATATTTAATGGCATTGTATTTCTCTGGTTTATTTGGAAGTGTGGAAACAAGATCATAGTTGGAAAAAATAAAAGGCAACTGAAATGCTACAACTAGCTAGGAGTGAGCATGGGTTGGTTTGGTTCAGTTTCAAGGTAGAGGGTTGGTTTAATTTTTTTGGAATCATAATCTACCCTGCCAAGATCGGTTTTGGTCTTGGTAGTTCAAGGATATCTTTAAAAAACTTGGTTTTCAACAACAACAACAACAACAACAACAACAATAATAATAATAATAATAATAATAATAATAATAATAGCAATAATATAGTTCAGAACTTATATTACCTTTATTGATTAAATTGAGCAATTTAATATGTAGATTATCATTATATATATATACAAAAGTTATCATTATAATTTAAGTTTTGTTAATATTAATTACCTTTTACATATTATACATTAAATTGAAGAAAAACGATCAAATGACTTAAAGTGATTCACATTCAAATATCCATGAGTGTTTGATTTCAAATATTCACATCCTCAAAGTTTTTTTGGGACTTATTTCAAGGCAAGTTTGGTCCCAAGGCTAGTTCCACCAAAGCTGATTCTCCAAGTTGATTTGGGTTGGGTAAAGCCCTAGACCCTCAAATTGGCCTAGGAGGGGATCGGTTCCAAGAATTTGAAACCAGACCCTACCCGATAACAAATTGGGTAGGGTTAGTTCATATATAGTTAAAGGTCAGCTACATAGGGATGTGGATAGAACCTACCCATTTGCTCACCCCCAGCTATAACTATGGTTGGAGAATGCAATATGGGCTAATGTTATTGATTTTACTAGCCCATCAAATGACAACTTCAGTCATATTTTGATATGGTCTCAACCTTCTTCACCCTTCATTAGAATTAACAATTGATAGAGCCATTAGTAAAGAAAGGTTTGGCATTAGAGTAACTAACTGCTCATGATCATTGAAGCAACTTTTGTTATGGAAAGTGTATGGTCTTCCAACCTTGCTCTACTATTGAGACTCAAGCAGCACATTTAATTAATAAAGGCATTCTTTTGGTAATTTCAAAGGCCTTGATCATCTTATTCAAAGAGGTGATTCTCTACCGGTACTGGTAAAATGCATACCAACCTAGCTCTCCCAAGGTGAGCAAGAGATGGTGACCAGAAAGTGCTTATTTTAACAACTCTTCATAATCAGGTAATGAATCTTGTATCTTTGGGAGAGTAGAATTTTGGTTGAAAAGGTTACTTAATAAACTTCAGAATTTTTCAGGTGTCTTTGAAGAGTGACGTTGATCTTTGAAAATGTGTTGATTATCTTAATCCCATATGAGAACTTTGATGTAATGTTGATCCTATGTGGGTTGGTTGTTTTTATATGACTTTAGATAAAAGATATAGTATGAATTTTAATGATTCTTAGATGAGGAACTTAAATGTATTTGATGGCTTTTAGAATATGAAGCTTTTTTCTCTCTTTTTTGTTTTTCTAAAAATTGAAAGCTTGTTTAAAAGCTGGATTTGGAATTGAAAATTAGATCTGATTTATAAGACTTTGAAAATTAGTTGAACATTGTCAACGCCCCTCTGCAAGGACTGATTCGATGCGAGAAAGACGTGGGTAAGATCTTTTAGCCCAACATGTCACCATTCCTCACCATGTATGCAAGCACTACGACCCTAACTGACTGGTAAATTGTTTGTCATGGTCTGTGTAACAGGGTGTTGGAATTCCATCAATGTCTGTGTCACACGAAAATAAGTGCATTAAATTGGAAAAGGCACCGACTGTTAACAAATTGGAACGATATCAAAATGGACTCTAAGCACCAACTGCTCAGGTGGTAGCTGAGTCGCACAGGCAAGGATTAATGTGGTGTTTGGGTGGGCTACTAGCAGTGCCTAAAAACAGGGTTCCATATGTTTAAAATTTATTGTTGACCCCATAAAATGCAGTTACCACGGTAAGCATGTACTTCATGTATTCAACAGAGAAGATACAACATTTTACCGACCTCCGAGACGGGATACAGTCATAAGTTAATCTGCCCATGCCCTGGCATTACTAATATTTTATATGTAAAAGATGTAGGCCTAGAATTAGTCCTGACCCATGGTCACCCCCACTATCTGCTTGAGCCTCAACAAACCTCGTACACTTTACTTAAAAAACCTAACTTCAAGGTATGCCTCAAGGACTTTAGAAATTAGAATACTGAAATAATTGGCCTTCAAACTTATCATCATCATACTCCTTCAGTAAGGGGGAAACCCAAGGGACATCAATGACATTACAACTACATGTAGTAGAATCAGGATAAATAACAACCAGAGGTAATAGTTGCTGAAGATGGATCCCCACTTTTTCCTTCTGCTGATTGATTTAACCCATACAGCTCATTATTTACAGACAGCATTGTTCTAGAAAAAGAAGATGAGACAAAGGGGTAAACAAGGATTCTGTAGCTGGAGCTAAATAGATGAAGGTTGATGATGACGGTTCCTTCTACATACCTATATTCTTCTATTGGTACAAGGGGTGCAACTTGGTGGGCTCAGGTTGGGCTTTTGTCAAAAATTGAATGAGCCAAGCCCGATGCAACGTAAAATGCTCAGGCCAACCGGGTTGCATCCCTAATAGGTACATACAGTTTTTTTTTTTTTTTTCCAACAAAACTAGTGCCTAGGTATAGATACCCACCAAACCTTGACTAGACTAACAAATATTAGTAAACAAATGAGGAACAGAATAAATGCATTGGCTTGGACCAGAATTATGGGTCCATTTGGTTCATAATCATAATCAGAATTGGGATGGCCCATTCCCCTACCTGTTTAGTTCAGACAGGAATCAGAATTCGTTTCCAATTGATGCTGTTTGGTTCATCAAGAAGCTGGAATCGGAATCAACCAGGATTTCCAATTTTACCCCTAATAAAACATATAATGAAATAAAAATCCATGAAAATCCAAGTTCAGCACAATCCAATTAACATGTGAAGAGATAAATACATAATCTGATATTCAATTAACACAAAGAGATAATAAAACATGAAAAAGAAAGAAAAAAAAATGCACATAATACGAATTCTGTCAAAGGGAGAAGAAGAGACCTGAGGGATTTGAGGGCTCCCAAATACAGAATAATACTTCTGTCAGAGGAATTCTCACTCAGGTCCAGGACTTCAGTTTTTCAACCTATCTGGAAGTTTAAATCCTGCAAAAGAGTAATTGTTAGAATAAGTATTATGGCCAAAATATTAGGCATAGATTGAAGGAGAAGATTTGTCATGATTGAGGTATTCTTCCCTTCAAATGTCCATTTATTCCTTTATTGTCAAGTGCCTTGGGCAGTGGCATTCAAGATCATTGGCCAGATCCACCTTCCTTTCAGGCCACCTTCTGCGGCACCTAAAATATCCACATACGACATACCTATAAATTTGTGCAACATCTGCTACCAGTTATTGTCATACCTGTCCGAACCAAAATGCACCAACCACCTAAAAGTACAGTGTGATTACTGTACTTCAAGCATGAGGATGGGATTTGAGTTTGAGAATGGACACTTCAAGAGGAAAACAAGCCAATTCTTCCCCATTTGTGCCCTTCTCTAAGAAGGCTAAATTTTTGCAAAACAACCTGGTAACTTCATCATTCAAAACCTTAAACCTCTTCATTTTCTTTCATTAGACAGTTTTGCTTAATTTTGACATCATTAGACAGTTTCATTGGAAGATTTGTCATGGTTGGTGAAAGCTCATGAAGATCTAGAAATGACACAAGGGAAATAAGGCAGCTGAAATGGGAACTGTTAGTCACTTATTGATTGGTGCATAGATCAGCAAATTTAGTAGCAGATACAATGGCTGACTAGGGGTGAATAGGGCTCAAATATTTTGTATATACTTGTAACTTGATTATGTTAAAATTCCTTCATTTTCCAAATGGTTAAAATTCCCCCAGAAGCTCCCCATGAAGGTGCATAAGCCCAGCTTAAGCCCCTAATTCCCAGACACTCCTGATCCATCTTTTATCTAATTATGATAATTTGGTTTCCTGAATTAGGTAGGAGTACATCTGACCTCTCTTTTTCACTCCTTATTAGTCTTTTGTTTCACACTTCCTAATCCTCTAATTCCAACTGATTACCTTCGTGCTGAAACAATGAGACAAGCCCCAAATAGCACCTTTTTCTAGCCCAATCTTCTCTTCCCTTTCCTCTTTTTATCCTCTTTCTCATAAGAAACCTCAGTAACCAGCTTCTCCATTTCACTACTATTCTTTTCAGTTTATTGCCTTCCCTTTTCCTACAAATGCTGATCTTCTTAATTTTGAAGTGGTGATTGGTAGGTTAGGGGTGGATCTAAGACGAAGAAGGAAGATAGATGTGAAGGCTTTGGATGCTGCAGAGGTCGTGGTTACCAACTCGGGGCTCAAGAAATTCCCAAATTATTCATGTAACTAAAGTTTTCTCTCAACTAAAAATCAGTTTGGTGGGGCTAGGACCTATAAAGAATTTCAAAAGGGTGAACAAGAGATAACGTAGGAAGAAAGTTGGGCTGACTGTTGACGATGGAGATGGGATTGGGTCTCAGATTCTTGTTAGTTCCAAACCTCAGGTGTAGGCGTTCACCAAGGTGAGGAGAATAATGACACAAGGTCCAGTTCTGTTAAGTGTTGGTTCTGATCTTTGACAAAATGGTGGAAAGGGAAGGAAGTTTGCCAATTGAGGAGATTGTTGATTGAGATGTAGAGATTGGTAAGAAGCTTGGATTGTTTTTTCGGGGAGCGGAGGGATTTGCTAGGGAAAGCCTTTGAGGAATTTGAGAGGAAAAGGAGAGAAGAATGTCTGAAGAAAGTAAAAATATAATATCTCAGACTTGAGGATTATCCAAGGTTGTCGAGAAAAAACGCCTCCACAGTGCCGCAAGATGGAGAAGAGACCTAGAGAAGGAAGCTACAAGCTACCCGCGAGATGGAGAAGAGATCTGGCATTTGAGGCAAAGAAGTTCGTATTTGAGGAGTGTAGAAACAACGGTCAGGTTTGTTTGAAGGTCAAGGAGGAGAAAAAAAAATCCACCATTTTTCTCTTTAGGGACGTAGTGGTCTAGGTGAGGGGTTTTATGTATGGAGCAATGTATGGAAAAAAAAGAGAACAAATGGAGGGGTCACCTGAAAACTAAGAGGAAGAGTGGTTCTAGGAGAATGCATGTATTGGATGACAACACTAACAACATAAGAGATGTCAGGACGAGTAAGACATAGATAAAGGAGCTTTCCGACTAGTCGTTGGTACATGGCTTTGTCTTCAAGAGGCTCGCCCCCTTTGGCATTTATCTTATGATTCAATTTAATAGGTGTTTCTACTGGTTTAACTCCTAGTTTCCCAGTGTCCTCAAGGAGATCAAAGACATTTCCTCTGTGAAATAAAGATACCATGTCTAGAGAGGGCCACTTCAATTCCCAAGATATGTTGCAAGTCACCAAGGTCTTTCACTTCAAATTCCACATCAAGAAATTGTTTGAGAGAATCAATCTCATCAGCATCACAACCGGTCACAACAATGTCATCAACATACACTGCAAGAAGGGTGAGAGAAGCACCATTTCTCTTAATGAAGAGAGTGTGATCGGAGTGGGCCTGTACATAACCAAACCTTTCAAGAGCCAATCTAAATCTATCAAACCAGGATCTTGGAGATTGGTTTAAACCATATAGATCCTTTTGCAATTTGCAAACTTTATTCCCTATAGTTTCATCATAAAACCCAGGAGGTAACTCCATATACACCTCCTCCTGCAAATCGCCATTAAGGAAAGCATTCTTGACATCCAGTTGGAACAGAGGCCATGAAAAATTTGCTACAAGGGATAGCAGAACTCTAATGGTTTTCATCATGGCAACAGGTGCAAAGGTTTCTAGGTAGTCAATGCCATAAGTCTGAGTATACCCCTTTGCAACCAACCGAACTTTGTACCTTTCAACGAAGCCAATTGTATTATGTTTCATAGTGAACACCCATCTGCACCCAACTAGTTTCTTCCCTTATGGCTTGTCAATTAAATCCCAGGTCTTATTTTTAATGAGAGCAACCATTTCTTCCTCCATTGCATTCTTCCACTCAGGTACTGCAAGAGGTTCCTAGATAGACCTAGGAATAGATATAGCAGAGATAGATGCTAAGTAGGACCTATAGAATGGTGAAAGACAACCCATAGGTGATAAACTAAGATATGCAATGGACAGTAGATGAAGTGCACCAACGCATTCCCTTGCAGACTGCAATGGGAAGATCAAGATCATCTGGAGGGGGTAGGGGATCAGAAGGTGAGAGTGATGTATCAACAAGCAAGGAGGGTGAAGTACCTGAATCTGGAACTGCAGAGGAGAGAGGAACTGGCCTGGACTGATTATGAGCACCAAAATCAACCTGCCTCCACCTCCTGTGGTAAACTCTCAACTCCCTACACCTCTGACAAGCACCCTCATTACACAACTCTCCTTCAAGAATAGGAATAGGTAGAGGAACTTCAGGACAAGGACTATCCTTCTCAATATTCTCCCCCTGAGAAGAAACACCTAGGTAATAAGGGACATCCTCAAAAAAGGCAACATCCATGGACACAAACCGAGATCCAGAACTAGGATCATAGCAGCAATATCCCTTTTAATTTTGTGCATAACGCAGGAATATACATTTAGCAGCTTTAGGATCAAACTTAGAACAATGAGGTCCTAAAATTTTATCCAAACAAGTGCACCCAAAAACTTTAAGAGGGATGGTGTACAAATCTTTCTCAAGATGCAATAATGACAAAGGAGCTTTCATATCCAAAACACGGGAAGGGATTCAATTGATGAGATACATAGTTGTATTAATAGCATTCTCCCAAAAACAAATGGGAACATTAGAATTCAACATAATACTTCTTGCAACTTCCAGGATATGCCTATTTTTTATCTCAGTTACCCCATTTTGCTTAGGTGTATGGGGACAAGTACTCTAATGAACAACCCCATACTCAAGAAAATATGAATTCAGGTGTTTAGTGAAATATTCTTTAGCATTATCATATCTGAAAATTTTATTCTAACTTCAAATTGAGTGAGAACCATTTGATGAAAAACACGAGTTAAGGTGGGAACCTCTTCTCGAGAACACATAAGATAAACCCATGAGAAATAAGAGTAATCATCAACAAACAGTAAGAAATACTGTTGCGAAATATAGAGGGAGAAAAGAAGAAGATTTTCTTTATTGATAATGTGATGATGAAAACATATTGAGCATACAACTTAAATATGAAAATATAGGAGAGACAAACTCCTAGAATCTCTCTCAATCAGGGATTGACTAAATCTTTCCCTTAATTCTATGATATGACTTTCCTAAATTTATTCAAATCTAATCCTTCCTAAATTTATTCAAATCTGTAATCAATCAAATCCTATCTTTCTAAATTTGCCGCAAATCCTATCTTTCTAAATTTGCCGCAAATCCTATCTTTCTTAATTTTCCAACACTCCCCCTCGAGTTGGTGCAAAGATATCTATCATGCCCAACTTGCTAACTTGAACTTCAAATGGCTGTCTCAACAAGCCCTTAGTCAAAACATCTGCAACTTGYTGYGTGGTTGGTAYAAAYGGAGTGCWRATTATTCCTTCTTCAAGCTTCTCCTTTATAAAGTGTCTGTCAATCTCAACATGTTTAGTCCTGTCATGTAGAACTGGATTATGAGCAATGTTGATAGCTGCCTTGTTATCACAATACAATTTCATTAGAAAACTCACTGGTCTCTTAAGATCTGCTAGCACCCTCTTTAGCCAAAGAATCTCACACACTCCTTGAGCCATTGATCTGAATTCAACCTCAACACTACTTCTAGCAACTACACTTTTCTTCTTGCTTCTCCAAGTAACTAAGTTGCCCCAAAGAAATATGCAGTACCCCGAAGTTGACCTTCTATCAGTGATCGAGCCTGCCCAATCCGCATCTGTATACACTTCAACTCCTCTCTTCTCATTTTTCTTGAAGAGGAGTCCTTTTCCTGGTGTGCCTTTTAGATACTTAAGAATTCGATACACAGCTTCAAGATGTTCTTCGTACGGGGAGTGCATAAATTGACTCACCATGCTCACAGCGAAGGCAATGTCAGGACGTGTATGTGACAAGTATATCAATCTTCCTACCAGCCTTTAGTATCTATCCGTATCTACTGGAACCCCATCTTTAACTTCTCCAAGCTTAGCTTTAACTTCTATCGGAGTGTCTGAAGGTTTGCATCCACTCATTCCAGTTTCTTTCAAGAAGCCTAGAATATATTTTCGTTGCGAAACCACAATGCCCTTCTTTGATCTTGATTCCATTCCAAGAAAGTACCTTATCTGGCCTAAGTCTTTAATCTCGAATTCCTTGGCTAAGCTCTGCTTCAGTCTGCTCATCTCTTCAATATCTCTAGTCAAGATTATGTCATCAACATAGACAATCAGAACTGAAACCTTGTCTTTGGTGGATCTTTTTGTGAAAAGAGTATGACCAGATTGTCCTTGACTATATCCTTGACTTTTAACGAACCTTGTGAATCTTTCGAACCAGGCTCTGGGAGACTATTTAAGTCCATATAGAGACTTTTTTAGCTTGCATACCTTAGTTCCAAACTTCTCAATGAAACCAGGTGGAGGCTCCATATATACTTCTTCTAAGTCTCCATTCAAAAAGGCATTCTTCACATCCAGCTGATTCAGTGGCCAGTCAAGATTAGCTACAACAGACAAGAATACTCGAACTGTATTTAGTTTCGCCACTGGAGAAAAGGTCTCAGATTAGTCCACTCCATATGTCTGAGTAAAGCCTTTAGCTACTAGCCGAGCCTTGTATCTCTCCAAGGATCCATCTGAGTTGTACTTCAGAGTGAACACCCATTTACAACMAACAACTGTCTTTCCATCCGGCAAATCCACTTTCTCCCAAGTAGCATTCTTTTCCAAAGCTCTCATCTCCTCAAAAACAGCTTCTTTCCACTCAGGAACATTT